TAATCGGCTGTCATCGACTTTGTCGACCGATTTTCGTTTTATATCTCTCCGGTCAATGGTTCAAATCCAGTTTTGAAATCGTGCAAATGTTGCCCCGTTCCTCGATCCTCCCCTGGCTTCGTTTCGTTTCGACTCCCTCGAAATTATTATCTTGTCACCCTTTTGTCACTATTTTTCTATTCGACGGGACGAGAAAAAGGATTCGAGGGATTCTGTCGTTTCGTCGTCGCGAAGGATCGTTGAGAAAGGCTGTTATTCGACATCGCGAATATCGTTCGATAAATCATCGATTTATCTTGAATCCGATGATGTTGCGGTGGATCTAGTCGGGTGAAACGATTTCACCCTTCGAGTTCTAAACGTTTCCTATTCCACTTGATTCCTATTGACGGAGATCAATGCACGTATATAAATATCGGACGAAATTTCGAACTTCTTCTTTCGCAAATAATTTGTCTTTTAAAACAACACGAAACGTGTCAGCTGAGAACCTGATTAATGCGATGAGTTAGTTAGACGGAAAACGACACCGAATCCGTGGATTACGGTCACGGTAAAAAGTCCCGCAGGTTTAGCAGTTTTCTTCGGGCAGAGATTAGGTTGCACCCTTAACTGGTTTTAATTTCAATCAATGCACTTGCCGGAGTACAAAAGCTCCTTGCCATCCAGGCCCGGCTGCAGTTCGTTCCGGTCATCGTAACCATCCACACGGCACGATCCATCCGATATTTTCCTTTTTTCTTTTTCTTTTTCTTTTTTTTCCTCCCCGAAATATGCGAATACCATCGTACTTTTGAATTTCTTCTTCTCAATTTTGTTATCGAAGTGTTTCTTCGCGTCGAATTCTCGTCGGTTTCACGATGTTTTCGAATTTTTCGAATATTGTGCGAGGAACTAGGTCAGGTTTACTCGAAGTGAAACTCTGGAAAAGCGATTTGAAAAATCGGATACTCTTCTCGTTTGGTGAAAAGAAATACTCGATTTTTAAAAACCATCCCTATTGATAACGACAATATCGTAAATAATAAAAGTATTTTCATTCTCGATTCTATTTTTCCATTTCGAAAAAAAAAAAAACTCCAGAAAAATCTTCGATTTTGAATTTCAAATTTTCAAAACTGGATTCGATATAGGAAACTTTTCTTTCTCGAGCGTGTGCAATAATGATTCGCTTAAATTTTCTTTCTTTCTTTTTTTCTTTTCTTTTTTTACTGGGGGCCCAGGTGTGTATGAAATTCGATACAAGAATCGTTGGATCGGAAAGGAACGTAAGATCGAGCTTCGAGCTTCGGAGCAGGATTGATCGTAAAGGGTTGAATAAATAACGTTCGATTCGATTTCAACGAATCGTGAGCGAGCGATCGCGTGGAGAATCGCAACGACGAAGCAGCAACAGCAGGTAGAGGTCATGCTTCTGGATATCTCTGTCATCCTTACATAATACCTTCTAAGAAGAGAGAAGATAACGGTGGTCAGTGACAAGTGCGAAGCCATTTCAAGCGGTTTACCCAGCGCGAAACGAGTTCCTTAACCCGTTTAGGCTCGTAATTAAACTGCTATACTTATAAATTCGAACCGACTCTCGTCGTCATCGCCAAGAAAACTTCGGATATGGATACGAAAAATTGGAATTGATATCTAGAGAAAATTCACGGTTCAAAGATATGGAGCTTGGCAATATTCCTCGTTATCGTGTTCAACGAATCAAGATCAAGAGAAGTGATACAAAAATTTCAAAACTACATACAAAAAATGTACCCTTTAAAACAGTAAAAATACGATTCGATCCTCTCTTGTCGTCCAGAACGGAGCATAAAATACAAAGAAGAAGAAAAGTGACTCGCATCAAATTCCAAATTCCAATAATAAACGGATAAAACTCGACCAAAGATCGCTTTAATTCCCCTCCAAAAAAAATATCCAATATCGACTCGCGATCTAAATTCCAAAAGCATATCCCAAACCTTGGCCCAAAAGTGGAATTTGGAGCGGAAAATGAGAGAAAAAAATTGCAAAGCCACATTCGCTTCGAGCTCGAAATAAATGTCCCCCCGTTGAAAAGGTAGAATCGGTAGAGAATCGGCCCAGGTTAGGATTCTCTCCCCGGGTTATCTTGGGTGGTGGACGAAGGGCCACGCTGTGCCTCGTGGTGTGAACGTGATTTTCGAGGCTGAGTGAATTTCGGTGGCGAGGAGGGGGGCAGGGCAGGATGCAAGGGGCGAGGAGAAGATGCGCCGGAGAAGATAGGTGGGAGAGGAAAGGGGATGGGTGGCAGTGGTGGTGGCGCGGCGCTGGTTCGAACAGGACTTGGAAGGATACAAGGTCTTGGTATGCGGTGATATCGACTCATTACCATGCCCGGCGCGGACACCGGGGTGTGACTTTGCATCCATTAGGATAATTGTTGCTCTAAGTCTCCCCGCTGATTTCTTCGCGGCTGCTGATTACTTTTACGCGCGATAATTCATCGATTGCCGCCGCATTTAAGCGCGAACG